TCAATCCGCGATAGCGCGTGGTGCACAGCGGCCACAGCCACTATCGCCTGCCAAGGTGGCGTTTTTCAATGCCTATTGCCCACAGCTGAGATGTTGCTATGTCAATATTGACGTATCTGCAATTCTCTTCGAAGAGGAGTTGTCTTTGCTTGTGGCTAAGCAAATCTGAACTCCCAGGAGCGCTCTTCGGGGTTGTATTGCCCTGGGCTCAGAGCCGGTGGCTGCAATCTGGCTACTTATTTGGAACATGCGGAAGAATATCTTCCTCCTATGAACAAATGCGCCCTAATAGTCAATAAGTGTTTGTTCAGACTACAAATCTTCCAAGCTCAATTCTAAAACAGCAAATTGACTTCGGTAGTAGTCGGGGACACTTTGTAACCATACCAAAGATTACTCAACCAGTACGAAACCCGCCGGATTTAAACCAGCAATCTAACAATTGACATATCTTCTTGTTGTAACCTTGCCCAGCAAGGGCGATTTGGACAGATTCTTTCTGGATCCCAGAAAGTGGGGACATGTGGGGACTCACTTTGGACGACCGTAGCGGACCCCCTTGGTGCTCTAATGCGTCCCACTGAATGTTGTTCCGACCCCAGGAGATTTGTTTATTTATTTCTTTTCGGGGGACCGTATTGATCATCAGGGAGAACGGATCAGTACTAATTACTGGTCTTGCGTTTCTTGGTTGCACGGCCTGCTGTCAGAGTTTTTTTGAGGCCAACGCCTACCTTCTTAAAACGACATGTCAAGTGTGTGTGTGTGTGAGAGAGAGAGCGAGAGGGGTGTGTGTGCCTGGGAGAGTTGTGCTTTGGGTGTTGCTTGGGTTCGAGACGTTCTCTGGAGGCACCGTTCGGCCTGATGATGGTCGTGAGTACTCCAGTCATTTCAGGCGGAGGCGAGCTTGGGGGGTGGCCGCAAACGAGCCAGCCGTTGCCCCCCTGCGGAACTCAGGATGTAGGATCCAGACCTTGAGATTAATTCATGGAGAAGAGTTCACACATAGATGCTTGGCTTTCCAAAAGGCGCCCCAAAGCAACGTTCGGATGACGGAAGGCGGCTGCAATGCAAGAATGCGGCTCAGCTTGCCAACTGCAGCAGATGCCTGAGCATGTGTTTGCTATCCGCTCCTCGATGGGCTGCATATTGGTTATCATTCAGCTTCCATGTTTGGCCCCTGCAGAAAAGTAAGAGAAAGATCCCAGGCCTTGCAGACGGCGCAGTGCGGCAGTCTAGCTTTAGCTCTGACTCGCAGTCTCAGGACCTGAACCTCCTGTACATCTTCCAGTGGGCCCGGGAAAGTGACATAACTGGGGCATTCCACGGATCCATCGCCATCTCGCAGGTCTTCCTGCACTTTGTCGGCTTTGCTTGCTTTGTGGGCCCCAGCTTGCTGTGGGAGCTGCCAGCCAGCGGCTGAATGTTTCTTCAAACCAGTCGGATTGGGCACCGCTGTGACAGGGAGCCAATTTGAAGCCCTTGGATGGGGTCCAAAGTCTTGACAAGCACAAGCAGTGTTGCGTCGGAAGACTTTTCGCATCTGAAGGCAATTATGACAACACGGGTAAACCTGCGAATTCCCCTTTGAAGGGGAAGTTCCTCGGCGTCGTTGAAGTGGGAATCAGTTCCAATTCCCACAAACCTGATTGTTTCCAGAAGCTTGGTTTCTTATTGGTTTCCATTTCAAAGCGGTTTAACCCATTTTGATTCTGACGCTGGCTATTTTCTCCAGATAGCAAACTTGGGAGGCGGGGTATCGAGGCGGCGGTTCTGGACTTGTTCAACCCTCCTCAGCCCGAAGCAGGCAGGCTCTCCGCATGCCAGGCCGTTTGGGATTTGAAACAACCATTGTAGGGGGGGGTCCTATTAGGAAACCACGGCCCACAATTGGCGGAGTTTTGACCGTGGCATATCTGTTGCAGGCCAGACTTGGCCTCAGATTCCAAGAATGCGCGCTGCTCGGATTGCTCTTGGCTAGTAGCCTGACACAAGTCCTTGACTCCTTTTGCGCTGCTCCTGACTGAGTCTGTGGTACTGCTTAACGAGCTTGCGGATGGCGGGACTGGCTTGTTAACCCCAAAGATCCCCTAAGAGTTCAATGTTGAAGCGTGCATGGCAGCAACCAGCGAGAGCGTTCTAGGTTTGTCCCATACTTATGCTGCGCGCTGCGCCCTACCTCTTCACAGAAGAGGCATGATGGGGAGAATTGATCGGAATTGAATAGAAGCAGCCTGACCAGGCCAAGAACCCAAACACCCTGCGCGCAAAGAAGTGGTACGGCGAATACTGCGTTGCCAGCTTAGAACGCAAATGTCGACGATTGTGCAGGGAGCATGTGCCTGAGGTGGGCGAGTTCGGGGCTGCAGTCATGTACTTCAACGCTCTTTCGGTGGCTTGACCTCGCAGAAATCCGGCGCAGCAGAGCTGATGAGCAGAAGATGAGGATTGCTTGCACAACTGGGCAGGTTGTTTTGGGGGATGAAGGCCCACATCTTCGTGGCGACTTCTTTTTTTTGTGATACTTACATGTTGCGTAGGCAATTGGCTGACAGGGCCACAACCGCGTAGGCGTTTCGGTTGCGAAGCCTTGCGCAGGCAGTCAGGCGACGATTTGATAGGTTGACATGTCCACGCGGAGCGTGCTTTTATGAAGGGGTCAATGATGTGAACCGTTGGTGCGGAGATGGTCTGACGGCTTGTGAAGCCCTGCGATGTATACAAATGCGCCGTTTGCCAACTTAATAGAAGGGGGAAGATTTCGCGTAGCTTTCGCGCAGGCTTGCACTGACAAGTTGCGATGTTCGAGCTGCCACCGTTCACTTCGCGCATCACTTGCTGAAACATTGTGAAGCTGGGCCTGCCAAACGCTTGTACTGACAAGTTGCAGTTTTGCGCAGCCCTAAGTTTGTTGAGTCGCGTTGGCAACCAGCCAAAAGGAATTCCAGCCACTACGCCCAGGTGTTTTTCCTGCCTGGACAGGGGCCATACAGCATCATGGACAAAGTGCATTGCTCAGCTGGCGCAAGTCTTTTGTTGTGAAAGAGGACACCCTTTTCATCAGATGCCTCATTTTGGGGCTTGAGGCCTTCAGCGCTCTCTCGCATCCTGTGAGGTGGTCATAGGTGCTATGCTCTTGGACAGCTTCAGGATATTGCTGGACCCGCCCTAAGCGGTCAGCAGGAGGTTGGACCTGGATAGCTTTGTGGGTACAGTCGGAGGCCATACATTTTTGACACCGCATAGAAATCGGATTGATGTGCCTTCTTGGTTATCTTGCCGTATGTTGCGTTCGCTAAGTTTTATGGCCTGTGGTCAATGTGGGTGCTTCATGCCGCCCACTCAGAGTGACGGGGGAGACTCGGTTCTGGATGCTTTTCACAGTCAATGACAAATCACTTCGCACTGGTGCAGAGGCCTGGGACGAGATCGATTGGAAATATGAGTGTCCACTGCTCGGCTAGCTTGAACTGCTCAACGATGTCAAAGCTTCTGACTTTTGTGAGGTATGTCAAGAACAACAATGAGCCATGGTCCTGTCATGAAAGCGCTCAGGAGCCTTCTCATGTTTGCTGATGGCAGGCAAATAAAGCACGGACGTCGAGGCTGGTTGCTGAGCTGGTTCATGTGTTGGTTGGCCAGGACACTCACTGACCGGCAATTGGAGCCTCGGTAGCACTGAAGGGCAATGGACCTTTGAGGGTCTGCAGTTCACGCACGAGTGCATCCAAGTCTCAATCAATGCTACGCTACGCTCTATTCTGCTTGTGACAGTCAGTACTGGAGGTTTTCTTACATGCAGTACAAGCCGGGCAATTCGATCCCACTGTTAGGGGCTTGGAAGCACTTATCCAATCGTCGCAGTGTGCAAAGGCAAGCCCTTGAACGTAAGGAGTGGCACGTCACAAGTTCGCCCCTGCCGACTTGGGCCGCTTGCCTTCACTTTGGACCCGGTCGGATTTGTCAGACTTGGAATGGAGAGTAATCAACAGTCGCTCAGATCATCAACGGTGCCCTGGGAGTGGCTCAGGGCCATGCGGGGGCGCCCATGGGAGCTTTGGAACACCAGCCCATTGACATCGCCCCGAAATCGGGCCGTGTTTTGCCGTGTTTCGTTTTGTTTTTGTTTTTTTAGATTGCTCAGGTCAGGCAGTTCGTGATTCGCCCCGAGAATTACACAAACTTTCTGGCGCTGGTGCCTCATATGTGCGTTTTCTATGCATGAGGCAAACAACCACTGAATCCGTCATGTTTAAGGTATGATTTTATGGACCTGCAGAAGGATGACCTTGAGTTGTTCAGTGAGGAGACGGCGAGATTTGCTGATGTCTGCTGATATGGCTTGCAAGATCTGCTCGCTGCTTCAGGACTTGCTTGCAGTGATTAGTGCTCTGCCAAGCACTGCGACTCTCTTCTTTCCCTTTGGTGTTCTGCCCCCAGATCTAAGAGAGTTTGCTGTTGGCAACGCATTTCATGTTGCAAGCCGAGGATATATATAAGAAGACCGTCCGTAGACCCTTCCTGTGCCTCTCTTGTGTGGGGCTCTGAGTTTCCTCATCAGATGGCACAACGCAAAGTCATCCCGGGCGAACAGGAAGACTTCGAAGCAGAGATTGAGCGCATCGGCGTCAAGGCGAACACAGACTTGCCGAGCTGCAGGGACGATGAGGCGGAATTGTATTCTTTTCTACTGGTAACCAGAATTGTAACCATGGCAGTTATCCTCGGCCTCAATTTTCGAGGGAAATGTGTGCTGCGGAGGTGGCTTTCGACATAACCGACAAGGTGCTACGCTCGTTCCCGTTCGTAGTCCCCATAACAGTTTCCTTGGGGCACAAACTTAAGCATGCTACTGTATACTGCGTGTTGCAACCTGAATGAGTCTCATCATGTTGTCTTCATTTTGTGGGTGTGCTCCAGTCACTGCGTGAGCCGGGAGCGCTTTGGCTTTTAGCTCGCCAACGCTGTGAGCCTATCATTTCCCAACATGGATTTGCCACATGCCTTCAGTGACTTCAGTTAGCTTGGAGCAGTTCCACTTGGAGCCCTGGGTGTGGAGCCTCCCGCGGGTGCGCCAGTACTCTGCCTTCTTCGAGGATGGGTACCAGGCCAACTCCTCGCAGCGTGTGAGGCAGGATGAGCAGCTGGAGAAGCAATCCGGCGGGGAGGAAGCCGCCGTGCCGGAAGAGAAACCGCAGTCCAACGTCCCTGACCCTGTGTCAGATGAGAGTGACGCTCCATCCTACACGCAAGAGGAGAAGCTCTTAAAGAAGTTGCACCAAGATGAGGAGCAGGTGGTTCAGATGGTTGTTGCTCAGAAAGCAGCGGCAAAACACGATGCCCGAGCTCAAGCTGCGCGTGCTGCGCAGGCTGCTCGGGCCAAGCACGCTTCACAAGCTTTGCAAGCTGTGCAGGGAGTTCACCTGCGTCTTCCCATGCACGAAGTCCGCTGCCGCAGGAGAAAGAGCGCCTTGTCGTGTCAGGATTTGAAAGCCGAATGTGCCTGGAGTGGAGACGAAAACAACGGCATATGCCACCACAAGAAGCCGGAGGAGTGGCCAGGCGGCTGGGACTTCCTCTTCGGGATGGGCGAGGTGGCGCTTCTTGAAGCGACTGTCGCCACCACGGCGGTGGTGACGCGGCTTCGTGGCAGAGAGATTCTTCGGCACTTCGTGGAGCGCCCCTCGTACTCTTTGCGACCCAATGCAGTGGCACATGCTTCCTTTTTCATTTTTTTGTTTTGGCGGAGTTCGCGTTAAATTCACGCAAACGGAGAGTGTCTTGTTTTCCCAGGCGAGCATCCATGTGGTTCTATCCCACAGCTGCCATGTATTTTGCGACTGGACTCTTCTACTACACGCGCACTCAGGGCTGGAATCCCTTCGATACCATCTACTTTCTGACGTCCATCGTGTCGACTGTCGGCGCCAGCGACCTCAGTCCAGCCCATCCCATGCCCAAGGCGATGGGGCATCGATTGTTGCGGATCAACCAAAATGTCATGTCGCTTGAGGATGTGTGGGGCGCTTTGTCCTTTCACTTTTCCTTGAATCACTGAAACACCATCCAAAAAACGGTTGACCCACGACGGGTTGCCCACAACTGCCTTTCATCCATCTTGTCATCCACTGGGAGGTTTCTATGACATAGTGGAGGATGCCACACATCTCCTCACTCTTTTCGGCACTGCCCCAACAAATCTTGCGAAAGTTGTCAAAGCATGATTTGAAGCCTCAACTAATTACGGGGTAACATGCCTCACAACCTCGCAACAGCTCTGGTGCTCGCGCGAGAGCAACAAAACAGGTGAGGTCTGAAACATAGCGCATGCCCTTGCCTCATTTGTAAGTTGTGAATCAGTTCTGGTTCTGGGCCCAATTTTGCCTGTCAGTTGATGCGTGCAAGCTGCAGACTTTCGCGTTTAACACGCTGACTTGGTTTTGATTGCCCACCCTCCCGCGCAACAGTGACTAGAAAGGTGAGATGGGACTTGTTCAGCGAGGCTTGGGGCTGTGGCCGCTTTCGGTGTTGTTTTCTCGGAAAGCCCTTGCTATTTCGCTCGCGTGCGATCAACAAAGTGGGGTCTCAAACGTAGCGCATGCGCGGCTTGTCTTCTTTGGTTGCGTGGGTAGCGTGGGTAGCAGGCTGACTTGAGGTTTTGATTTCCCACCCTCCCGCCCTGCTGTGAATAGAAAAAGGGTTTGGCGTGGTTGCATCACCTCGACCCCTGATTGCGCAAAGGAAGCCCCCTTAATTAAGCTTACACCGCCGGACAAACACGTGCTGCAGATGGGCTTTGTTCAGCGCGGGTTGGGGCTGGGGCCCTCCTTGGTTGTTGTGTTCTCGGAGGGCACCTTGTAATCGCTGTCGCCATCCTTTAAAGATCGCTTCAGAGGGCCATCGCCCAAAGCCGTCCGAAGAATGAGTCCAGACTAGAATTGGGTTATATAAGCGTCAATCCACGTTTTAGTGTTGTTCAACACTCTACGCACAGCCTTGCTTCATGGGCGTTGGATTCCGACGATCGTCCCAAAATGTCGAGGGTCGTTGAGTCAGGTCTTCACGATTTGTCACGTGCTGATGGGCCTGGTGCTCATCGGGGGCGCTGTGGGGGATGAGTTGGACCGGATCCTCGAGGCCCGTGTGGCTCGCATGGCCGACGCCGTAGCGCGAGGAGCCGACTTCCAGGCGGGCCATAAGATGGCATGAGGCAGAGCTGGAGGGAGTGTGTCTGCAAAGAGGGGATCCCCCCGATTGGTTTCCTGTTCCATGTACGTGTCTTGTTCTTTGATATGTATGTTTGATTTTGGGGGCTTTGTAAACAGTTTAACATACCAAGGGTTGGGAAGAACAGGTCGAATGATTTGCGCTATGCACAATTAGGGTCCACCTATCTTGAGTTGTTTTTCCTAGAAAGGACCCCCATTTGGAATATTGCCCCAAGGGACCTCTACAGGCAACAACCTGTTTGGAGCAGTCTCCTATTTCTTGTGAAATGCCCACGTTCACTTGGGCGGCTGCCAACACAGCAAAGCCTTTTTGGTATGGTGGCTTGTGTTTGGTTTTTGAGGACGAACAGTGGGCTTCCTCGTACAAGTCCGTTTTGGATGGGGTTGATTGGGAAGCCAAAAGAGAAACCAATCAGTTGCTTGGGTCCAATTTCTGATTTGGGAGTCTGTGGAGCGGACAAATACGCCAGATTGTTTTGGCAAGGGCGGGGAATTTGCATTTGGGTTGTGTTGAAGGGAACCCAAATCACCCACTTTCCCCGTTTAAAGGCAAGCCCATATGATATGAAACAGTTGATTGATCTAAATCTAGGTGCAACCCACACACGAAAACCACTCCTCTTAAAGGGAGCCGAACAATCCTTACATCAAGCCCAAACAGCAAGTATCCCCATGGCGACCTGTTGTGTGCCCTTCAGGGATTTGGTTTTGGGGTGTATCCAGTTGCTCTTAGAGAGATGAGGGGGTGAACTCGAATTCATAATGTGCGGGACAATAAAGAACTTGGTTTATTCAAACATCAAAGGCCAGTTCATACCCGACACTGTGCCAGATTGAAGCATGTGTTGTCGTTGGATCAGCATAGTTATTCCGTCGGAGCAAGCCATCTTCCTATAAAATATAGCAGAGTTATGTTGTCGCCGCCAGCCTCAAACATTCTAAACCAATTTTGGCTCATCGCTATCCTAACATCCCGCTGAGTTGATCAAGCCCTTTCCAGGCATGCTTAACCGTCCAGAAAGAAACATGTTCCGATCAAAGGCACGGATTTGAGCCTCCCAGGACTTGCTGCCCATCCTGTGGCGGGTGGCCAGTGAAGCGAGGGAAGCTGCAGGCTGGAAGCGACATGACAAAATGGCTGGGTCGAAGTGTAAAGTTGGTTCCTGCATTGGACCAACAACGGAAATGCAGACTGGGGAATGAAGACTAGGATGTAAGAATCCGTCCGGTCTGCTGGTTGTTTGGCAAGCATTGATGTTTCCTGCCTGCTGCATGGTAGAAGACATGCCTACATCAAGTCCAGCATGTTTTTGGCGCGTTGCTCTGAAGTGGTTGCCAGGTTTGCCACGAGTCTCAGCTTTGTTTGCCGTGGGCCAGCGGTTGTTTCTTTCAATTGACGGATTTTAGCTTCGGTGGAACTCCCAAAAGGTCCGCAAAGGTAGGCCCCTCAAGTTCACACAGGCGAAGCCACTTTGCGCAAGCTAACTAGTTGAAATTGGCTAGTGAAAACGTCTGGGAAAACACTTTGCGAGTCCACCAACGTCAAGCCTCACGAAAGCAACCCTTCCGCAAATTCTGCCTCGAAACGTAGTGGGCTCCGCCGTGTAGAAGACCCGAACCTTAGAACAACAGTGCTCACTTGGGCACTGGTCACGTGTCTGCTTTTTGGATAGTTGACGGCTGATGATTACCATTGCCGGGTCACAACGGTGCCCTTGAGGTGCCCTTGCATGTAAACCTTGGCTTGGCCATGATGGGCTATGGGTTTTTCCCTGCGCCCTTGCAAACGAGCCCAGGCGGGGATGCGTCCGGCTTGATCAAGAATGCACCAGGGTCGGGCAGACACATTTTAACCTCCAAGGGTCAGCAACTCTACAACGATCAACACCAAACCAACATGCCAACAACAAGCACACATCCGTCAAAGCACCAAAAACCCAAGAAAAACGACAAAACCAAGCAAACCAAGCAAACCAAGAAGCCGAGAAAACTGAGAAAGCCAACGATCCAACTCAAACACCGGCAGGCCGGGAGGGCTTGGAGACCATCGTGGAGCGCCTGGAAGACCTCCGCCTGTCGCTAGACCGGCCGCTGACCACGGAGCTGCGGTGGCTGCGGGACCTGCGTGGGGGCGAGGTGGGCAAAATGGTAAAAACGCGCATCGTGTTTCAATCAAAGGAAAGAGTTCAAGGTAAAGCCTGAACGGCAGGCCAATGTTGGCCACAACCTGATACTTGTAATCAGAGTTGTTTTCATTTTTCATGGCTCAAAGATCCCCAAAGCTGAGGTGGTGTTTGCTGAGCTCACGGGCTCCGGGGCGCTGATCCCATGGCCGGAGCGGGGGGCGCGGCTCTGGGCAGGCAGCGGACGGCGGCTGCGGGCCATGCTGCCGCTGCTGCGCTACGTGCGGGCCAACCCCAGCGCCGGCATGCCCAGCTACGACGTGGACCCCGGAAATGAAGTCAAAAAGCGGATTGACTTAAAGTCGATGTCAAAAATGGGCCAAAGTGATATTTACTCCTCGAGGAGTCGAGGAGTTGATATTTACGACCCTTCCAGGAAACCATGGCCCACATGCTGCACAGCCCACAGATTTCGGCCCTGGCAGACATGGTGGTAGGTAGCCCATGTTTGCTTGCAACCCAAATGATTTCCTTTGGGATGCCAACAAGAACAAACAAGGGTCCCCATAAACTTGACACGTTCCGGGAGAATGCATGGGACGACTGGAAAGAGAACTGGGGACTCTTGTTGTTGGGTGACATGAGAAAGAAAGTCCACGCTCTCTTTTAGCAGGCCAGCAGGAAACCAAGCATGATCTGGGAGTCACAATTTCAGAGTGGCAAGTACAAGATGCCTCAAACAACATTTCAGTCAGTATCTGAAATGCGTGTCATTGCAGGACACGATTGTGGACATGCTGGTATCCCGGCTTGAATCAGTCATTTCCAAAATTGTCGCGGGCCTTCCTGGAATACTTCCGAGTGGCTGAACGATTATGCACGTGTGGCGTAGCTAGTCTGACAGCCTCAGGAAGAGGATACTGTGCTCTTTGGATGCAAGGGGACCGCGACAACCTGCAAGCAACTGTTCATTGCGTCGAGAACCTTCAAGCCAAGGATAGATCAGTACTACTCAGACCTTATTGTCAGAAGTGCCATGGATATCAGAGCCTTGGATTGTATGCCAGTTTGTTTTCGGTTATTCAATTTGCATGTGTCCCGTGGGACCTGTTTGTCAGATGAATTTGCTCGCCTGATTGGTTTCCTAGGTGTGGTCATCGTCTCGGGAACGCTTTTCTTCGGAGTTGCAGACAACTGGCTACGAGGAAGGAAAGCCTTCTCCATGTTTGACGGTGCGCTGGCAGCATTTGCGGCACGTTGCAGCGTGGTTTGTCCACCAAAACGGCAGCTGTCTCGTTTGCATTCGTCATGGCCCGAATCCGCAAGAGGTTAATTTGCAATGCGTCTTGGAGTCACCAACGACTCTTACATTTAAAGATATATTATATGGTCCATTCATGTTCTATCCTTTACTCCATTCCATGTGGCACAGAGTGCACTGACGCAGCTTATGTTTTGCGAGCGGCTTTGTGTGTGGCAACGCAAGGCCTATACTTTGCGGTTGCTGGAGCATCCTCAGTTGGCATGCAGGAATCTCAGTCATCAGCAGTCAGGGCATGCGGCTTGACCATTTGTTTGGTGCTATTTGTTTTTTGGCTGAAGCGTGCCGAAGCTCTATACGGCAATAGAATGGGACTCTATACGGCAATAGAATGGGACTTTATACGGCAATAGAATGGGACTCCAAACGGCAATAGAATGGGATTCTGTACGGCAATAGAATGGGACTCTATACGGCAATAGAATGGGACTCTATACGGCAATAGAATGGGACTCTATACGGCAATAGAATGGGACTCTATACGGCACTCTATACGGCAATAGAATGGGACTCTATACGGCAATAGAATGGGACTCTATACGGCAATACAATGGGACTCTATACGGCAATAGGGACTCTATACGGCAATTGAATGGGACTCTATACGGCAATGAGGTACTTTTTTACGGCACTCTATACGGCAATAGAATGGGACTCTATACGGCAATAGAATGGGACGGCAATAGAATGGGACTCCATACGGTACAACAATAGAGTGGGACTCCATACGGGAATAGAATTGGATTCTATACGGCAATATAATGGGACTCTATACGGAAATAGAATGGGACTCTATGTGGAAATAGAATGGGACTCTATACGGCAATAGAATGAAACTCTATACGGCAATAGAATGGGACTCTATACGGCAAGAGAAGGGGACTCTATACGGCAATAGAATGGGACTCTATACGGCAATAGAATGGGACTATATACGGAAATAGAATAGGACTCTATACGGAAATAGAGTGGGACTCTATACGGCAATAGAATGGGACTCTATACGGCAATAGAATGGGACTCTATACGGCAATAGAATGGGACTCTATACGGCAGAATGGGACTCTATGCGGATAGAATGGGACTGTATACGACAATAGAATGGGACTTTATACGGCAATAGAATGGGACTCTATACGGCAATAGAATTGGATTCTATACGGCAATAGAATGGGACTCTCTATACGGCAATAGAATGGGACTCTATACGGAAATAGAATGGGACTCTATACGGAAATAGAATGGGACTCCATACGGCAATAGAATGGGACTCTACACGGCAATAGAAGGGGACTCTATACGGCAATAGAATGGGACTTTATACGGCAATAGAATGGAACTCCAAACGTGGATTCTATACGCCAATAGAATGGAATTCTATACGGCGAGAGAATGGGACTCTATACGGCAATAGAATGGGACTCCATACGGCAACAGAATGGGACTCTATACGGCAATAGAGTGGGACTTTATTCGGCAATAGAGCGGGACTTGATACGGCAATAGAATGGGACTCTATACGGCAATAGAATGGGACTCTATGTGGAAATAGAATGGGACTCTAATTTTACGGCAATACAATGGGACTCTATACGGCAATAGGATGGGACTCTATGCGGATGGAATGGGACTGTGTACGACAATAGAATGGGACTCTATACGGCAATAGAATGGGACTCTATACGGCAATAGAATGGGACTCTATATGGAAATAGAATGGGACTCTATACGGAAATAGAATGGGACTCCATACGGCAATAGAATGGGACTCTATACGGCAATAAAATGGGACTCTATAGAATGGGACTCTATACGGCAATAGAATACGGCAATAGAATGGGACTCCATACGGCAATAGAATGGGACTCTATACGGCAATATAATGGGACTCTTTACGGCAATAGAATGGGACTCTATACGGAAATAGAATGGGACTCTATACGGAAATAGAGTGGGACTCTATACGGCAACACAATGGGACTCGATACGGAAATAGAGTGGGACTCTGTACGGAAATAGAATGGGACTCTATACGGAAATAGAATGGGACTCTATACGGCAATAGAATGGGACTCTATACAGAACTAGAATGGGACTCTAGACGGAAATAGAATGGGACTCTATACGGAAATAGAATGGGACTCTATACGATTCTATTCCTTATCGTGACTTTGGCCCCCCTCTTGTCGTGGTTTTGGCCGCCCCCTTATCGTGTTTTTTTGTTCTTTTTCTTGTCGTGTTTTTATTATCATTCTTATCGTGGTTACGGACCCCCCTCATTCTTGTCGTTGATGCACGCAGGTTTGGGAACGTCATCGCAGTTACTCCCATGGAGAAGGCCTGCTTGAGTTGAATTTGCACGGAGTCCGATTTGTTGTCGATTTTTTGGTTCCTAGTTCCTACTGTGCATGCTGACTTGGGTGTTGCAAATTAAGGACCCCTCCAGGTGGTTGGTTTCCTTTTGACCTTTAGGACTATTCAACGCAACTACGTTCCCCATTTTGAGACAGGCCGTGACAGGCCCATGCGCTTGTGTGTGCGTTTGCCATGATTTAATCCTTGAGCTTCGCGGCCTCATGCGCCCTTTCAAAAGGCGCTTTCAATCGCATGGTGTCCCAAAATCGGGGGGGAGGGTCTCCTCTTTGTCTTTGAGGGAAAGCAAACGAAATCCAGCTTCTTTTGGGGCTCTCTCACTATGAAGTGCCTGGAGTGCAGCGCTTCTGTGTGGATGTCCAGCAGTGGAGGTGGCCTGCATGGCGCTCTTTTGCTACGGATGCTACAGCTCCTCGTTTAAAGACATGCAGGCAATACGCATGGTAGTTGCATGTGTACTGTTCTGGGCTTGTAGTTGTATAGAATCGACGAGCTTGTGTGGCTTTTGATTTGTTGTGTAACTACATGACTCAATATTTCTCATAACGATGCCGATGCACTTTAGGTAGCGAGGACACATCGACAGATCTGCATGGGCTTGTCTACAGCCAAGGCTTCAACCGGTTCATGATGTTCGCCTCTGAGGCTCAATTTGCCGGGTTTGAATTCGTGAATGCATTGCAGTCGATTAGACCTTCCCTGCAGGTGTTTGCGTATAAGGCGGGCATTGGACATCACAACTTGGCGCCATTGTTGGATGTGCTGTGTTTGTCCATGTTTGCTTCACAACAGACATTCCGCCCTGGCAGATCGAAAACTCGCAGGGCATTCTGGCAGTGCTCCCGCCAGGACGCGCAACTTGTGTCGTGCATTCACAGGCAGCAAGGGGTTTATAGCCGAGATGCCCAAAAACATTTGTTTGACAGTGATGTGTCGCACCCGGCTTTATGCGTTGAACCTTTGTCAAGCTTGATCACTTGCTAGAACCAAGCCTCTAGGAACTTGGAGTGCTTCTCAGAACTTGGTGGTAGTGGAACGCGGTGTTCGCTGTATCTTGTGGAACTGCAGGATTTGCAGGGAAGCTTCAGCGGCTGCAGAAAGCTTCGCCGGAGGT